TTAATTTTTAATTACCCAAGTAATAAAGCCAAGAGCGGAGCTTCAAGGGGAGGAAAAAAAGAAGATAAAGACTTATCTGTCAGGGTGCCAGGGCAATTAAACACGAACACACCTTACCATATTACTTTAATTTTTAATTTTGCAGTTACATGAATTAACATCTAAGATCTTAACGTCTACCTTAGGTACAAAACAAATTCATCTCCACAAAACATTCAAAAATCCTTTTGTGACTAATTAAAAGTTTCTCTGGCTCTTTTATGCAAAGTCATCTGATCTGAGTGCATTTTAGAAAGATAAGGCCCACTCACCCACAGGCTCTCAAATGTCTTGAAATAAAGGTTAAACTAGGTTAATAAGGCACAACATCAAGTAGCTTAGAAAACAAACATAGTTGTGAGGAAACAGCAAATAAACATTTACCCTAGCTCAACCACCTATAAACATTGGGAAATAGGGAACTTCTGCAATCGCAAAGTATGACGTTTTATTAATTAAGATAAAAATAAGAAAAATACGCGACAGAGAATACAGTCACAGTACGTCATTAATTATAATGTGACTAGAATTAATTACTTGAGGCACCCTATGTGAGCCTTTATCTCATGTTTTTTTTCTCTCTCTCTCTCTATATATATATATATATGAAAAAGAATCAACATTTTGACACAAACAGCAGCCCTGGTAAGGCTCAGTCACCTTGAGAAGACAGCAGCAGACTCGCTAGGCCCTGAAACTTGTTTTCTCTCATCCGCCATTTTCTGATCGAGAGGGAGGACATGTTGAACAAACACAACAAAAGAGCAGCGGCCATTTCCCACTCGCTCTTTACTCATTACTCAGCAACACACAAACACATGTAATAAGTGATCAAATCTTACTCGCTTTACAATATAATAATCCATTTTACAGAGCACGTATTGTTTGAAGACATTTCACCACCGTTCTTTCAAGCGACGCGGTGAAAAGCTAGCGCTAATGAACGGGCTAGTTAGCCTGCTGATGCTATATCACAAGCGTAAAACTAAACATAACAGTAATGACACTAATGTCATTAAGATCGATGCATAAACCATTGAGACGTTTAATATACGTTGACAAATGCGAGACGTTACTCTGTAACGCTCCTCGATGCGTTGCTTTCGATCTTAAGCTACCCTTAGTCCCTCAGCCAGATCAAACTAGTTCAGCTAATGTTACCACAAAATCCATAATAATGTCTGATATAATCTGAAGTTACTCACCTGATGTGTGGGATCCCGACTCCTCCCTGGAGAATTTTGTACAATTTGCTTTCATATAGGAGTTGAGGATGTCTGGCTTTCTGTGATTCCAATTTCACAGCTACCTCCTGAAATTATAATAAAAATAATGCTCATTTACCAAAAACTTACAGATCAGTGGCGAAACATTGAAAATAGTTAAAGATTTGACAGGACAGGATCTTAAAGAAATGTTTAATCCAATCTGCAACGAGTTATCGTTGATTGGTTTCTCATAAACAAGTCGTACAAATATGAATATCCGTTAATCTTTCAGGGCTAACGTTACACCAACTATATGTTTGAAAACCATATGGACTTTAATGTTCTGGTAATCAGACTTGTTGAGCTGGACACACGTATAAACCACTCAATCTTCTTATCCCAGTCATTCAGCACAAGAATTACACATCAATTTCATTTTACCTCTCCATTTGTGATGTTGATTGCCAAATAAATGTCACCGAAGGATCCAGATCCGATTTTACGAACGAGCTTGTATTTCCCACCGACTATAAACTCGGCTTTAGAGCCACTGCTGCTGGCCATGTCCTAAAATCCGAGAAGTACACTGAAACTGTGTAAACGGGCGAGGTTTTCAGGCAGCTCTCTTCTTCAGTCCAGTAGAAACAATGCTAGCTAGCCTAAAAACGGCTCTTCCTTACTAGCTGTGTCCTTAACTCACAACGACGAAATGAAGATGATAACGGACATCGGTTTCAATATAAGTTTTGCTGCCTCGACATTTAAGTAAAAAAAAAAAACAAGACTATTTCCCCTGAGGTTGAGGCTGTTTTTTCTCTTGAGCAATTCCCCGAATAGCTGACTAGCAGCTTAGCCTGAAAGGACACGGAGGAGTCGATGTCCTCGACGCTCTCTTCGATTCACCTCGCTCTGAGGGGCGATTTTTCTTCTTAAAGATGCGTTTTCCCGCTTATTTGAACGAACATCAAGGCAACCGACGTTTTAACGTTGAAGAATTTTTGTGAGTCGCTGCTTTCTCTTCAAAGCGCAACCCACTCACTTCGCCATCTTGTCCGTCTCGGGATGAACAGATTCTGCTGATCTGAAGAGAGGAGCGAGACCGCGCTAAAGCGCGCCGCCGCGGGCAGGGGAGGGGTTCACGCGTGATGTCAACGAACCTGTGGGTACGCGCGGCTAGAACGCGAGGGCGCGCAGGGGAATTTTGGAATGTGTATTGTAAAGCCAATGTGTTACTTTTGTTATAGATTATAATTTTATATTTTGACACCACAATCACTATAATGCGACCGGAATGTCACCTTTTAAATACACGACACCCATAGTCTTACATTTGTGTGAGCCTATCAAAGAGGTTTATTTAGTGTTTTATGATGTTACTCTATTAATTCCTGGCACCATTAAAATAATTCACACAGACATGTCTTGACACATTCAATATTTACACTTCTCGCGATGGCTGCGCACTGTCACGCGCGCTGTTGACCCGTGCGCGCTACATGGTTCGCTTATGCCACCTAGTGAAGTTTAACGAGATCCAGCTAATACGTGCTCCTGAAAAAGTAAATTTAGTTGTCATGTGTTCCCTCTCATGATTTTCAACCCTCTGCTACTTATACGGTCTCTTCAAAAAAAGGAAAGGAAAGTTTGGAGCAACATGAGTGAGTAAATGATTTGGATAAACTTATTGTTTAAAGGTTTCTCTCAATCAAGTTATTACACATGGCTCTCTTAATGCTAGTTTTAGTTATGTTTGTCCCCACATAAATTAATATAGCCTTCCTAATATCCTGATTGAAAGTTTCATGACAAGTTGGACAATACCTGACAAAAGTGTGGTCGCCTATCCAAGTTTTAGGAACAACAAATAATAACTTGACTTCTAGTTGATCATTTGCTATCAGAAGTGGCTTATATAAAAGACAAAGGCCTCTGGATTATGCCTATTTTACCAAAATAAAATATGATCATGCCTTGATTTGTAATTATTTAATTGGGACAGTAATGTCTGACTTTGCTTAGACAAAAGTCTTTCCACTTAACAGAAATAATGTACAGTATAGAATATAAAGTCATGGTGCAGTGGAAAAAGAATGAATATTGTGTTTGACTCCCATCAGCTTGGAGGACTGCATCCATACATCTCTGCAATGACTAAAATAACTTACTAATAAAGTCATCTGGAATGGCAAAGAAAGCGTTCAACTCAAAGTCAAGTTATTATGTGATCTTACAACTGGGATCAACGACAATACTTTTGTCAGGTAGTGTAACATAGTTATCATAACATACTGTTACGAACACATTCAGTAAAGTAAAGCTTCATCAAATAGATAAGAGGCTGTAGGGATGGTATACAGTTTAACCCAAAGAATGACCAGTCTGTCAGATGAAGAAGAGCCGGAGTCAGAGATTTCAATAAGTAAATCAAGTTTACTGAAGATAGTTTGCAGTTTCATCCGCAGAAGCCAGCTTCAACACTCGCAATGAGTTCCTAGGCCGCTCTGCTTACAATCACCAATCAATAACAATTATACTCTCACATAACGTTACTCTCACGTAACTCTCACATCATACATATAGGTGTTCTAATCTGATTGGTTAAAACACAGATACACTAGGAACATTTCCAAGTGGGGTTCGTGCGTACAATTCTGAACAATATCTTCAGCATAAACGTCAGACATCCCTTAGACTGATTAGAGCTGACTCCAGACCTGTGAAACGCATCAACAATCAAATAGAACACACAAAGTATAATCTGTTTCTTATCCAAGGCTGAGTGTACTCTCAGACGTTTTTATCAAAACTGGTTAAGAACTGGTATAATCTACATTCAGGCAGTTATATTCTTACTATACAAAGTCTATCTTGAATAAAAGTAGAATCACTTTAAAAGATTTAACCGTAAAAATAGAAAAATCACTTTAGACATTTTAGATAGTAATAACTACTAGAAATAACAATAGAAACAGTTGATTCCAGTCCTCAGCCCTCAGTTCCACTCAAGGTCTCCCTGACCTCTGACCTAGTTTGGTGGCTTCTGAAACTAGTTATAAAGAGACAGGCAAATGCACTGAACATTCTTATATTAAGCAATGTGTTAACTTTTTCATTAATTAAAATCAATTCAAAGTTAAATACTCATTCAAATGATCAAATAATTATATTTAATTTAAAAAATTGAGAAACTAAATATAATAGAATTTAATCGAACTTCATTTATCCCAAGAAATCATATTTAATTTAATGCTTCCTTGTTGTAAAAAGTATTTAAAATATCCTTAGTGTTTAGGAGGCCATCAACAAACTAAATCAAATATGAAGTAAAACCAATATGTCATTTTAAAAACAAGACATGAAGCCAAACAGAAAATCAATTACAGTTAACAAGCCATGATTTTCTACAGCAAACATTTTGTGATTTAATGAAGTTAGACATCATCTTTGTAAAACGAGACCTTATTATCCAGCTAGACTTAATGTCCATAGACAAGAGGACTTTTATCCTTGTATAACAAGTCTACAGTGCATCCTGAAGATGTGCCTTATGTTTTTATTTGTTGACAAATGCTTTTTTACCAACATTACAAAACCACAAACAGCCTTAGTCCCAGATAGCAGATACTCTTAGTCATTGTTTGTGGTCCCATGACATGAATGTTGCCCATCAGGTTTTTTTTCGGAGTAGGCAGAAACAATGAGAGGGAGGGGCTTGTGTTGGTTTATTTCAAAAGGTATATAACCAGAAATCCCAGACTACAAACATATTTAACACCTGCTGAGTTTCCCACTCTAAACTCGCTCAACAACCATGAAGCTCGCCATCCTGGTCTGCGTTTCTGTTGTCTTCTACCTCACTAGTAAGTATACAAATACACTGAACTATTGTGTGTTAATTATCTGAAGCAGACACCTGGTCGTGGTTTTGTTTGATATGTACGTCACTGAATACTGACGTGTCATAATGAGCATGTTTGGTAGGCACACATTGTTTTGTTTAACATATAGATGGTGACTTTTAAATTGTCATTTGCTTTTATAACAAAATGGATGTGAAAAGGATACGATTCAATTTACAATAAAGTTTGTTCTTTAAAGCCATAAGTAGACTATTCAGTGACCCAGACAGATCCATTTTGTTACATTTTGGATTGAATCTATGTTGTTGAGATGAATGGTTTCTGTCATGGGAAGATTTAAAAATCGGTTCTTCTGAAATATGGACAGAGAGTAAGCTGGTTTTAGGAATTTATGTCATATTATCATGACTTCCTCATCCAGCCTCATTATCTGATGAGAATTTGATTAGAAGGAAATAAAATAAAGATTGTTTATTGGCATAGTTGGTTGCAGGAAGAACATTTAACACACAATGTTCTCTACCGTTTCTACCACAAGTTTTCTAGTAGAAAGTGGTTCTTTTAAGTCTTTAGAAAAGTTATTGTGTGTGTGTGTGTGTGTGTGTGTGTGTGTGTGTGTGTGTGTGTGTGTGTGTGTGTGTGTGTGTGTGTGTGTGTGTGGAGTCATTAAGGGGTTCTTTATGAAACCAAAATTGTTCTTTTATTGCTTGATAGTGGATATATTTGGTGTGGAAAAGATTTTTTTTTCTCATTTTTACATACACACATACACACTTGTATATATGGTTTACGAGGACTCTCTATAGGTTTTGTATATTCTCCTGTCAAAACTGCTTATATATTGCTTTACCATACCCCTACTCATAACCCAACCTTTACATGAAGCATCAAAAGTCAAAAGACATCATTAAGTTTAGTTTTTAAACATTTTCAATTAGGCCATCTATAGGTCAACTAGGTCATACATACCCATTATATTAAACAATTTCAGTCTTATTAACCACATAAACCTGTATACACACTAGGCATGAGCTGGTATAAGATTCTGACGGTATGATAACCTTGGATGAAAATATCATGGTATTATGGTATTGTGGTTACAGATATAAAATATATATTTAAAATTTCTGGGTAAAAAACTAAAGCTTTTTTCCATTTTGAACACAATATATTTTATTTTGAGAAACATTTAAAACATTTTGGAGCAGTAAACATGTTGGGCTAATTAATTAAAATGAATCATTGACTTCTGCAGTCTTCATTAGTTTCAAAAACACAATTAGTTCTTCACAATTTAAAACAGCATCTTTGGATATCTTTTCTGCTGGAGATACTGTTGTCATAAAAGACAAAAAAAAAGCTATAGCAGAAAATGTTGGCGGTTTAAAACCTTGACTTTTCCAAACCGTGGGATACCTTGAAAACGTTTATCATCCCATGCCTATTTACGAGGACTCTCCATTTGTGTAATGTAAATTATACTGTAAAAACTGCTTATTATATTGCCTTACCGTACCCCTACCCTAAACCCCACCATCACAGGAAACATCAAAAGTCAAAAGACGCCATTAAGGCCAACTAATTCTCACTAGATTATAAGTAGACTGTTAGGTTGGGGTTGGGATTAGGGTTAGTGTATGTTGACTACTTATACTCAAAGTGACCATCAAAATAAGATAATACTTATATATATATATATATATATATATATATATATATATATATATATATATATATATATATATATATATATATAATATTTTTTGCAGATGCACTCCCCTGAATCATCCCAATCAATCTAGATTCATTAATAACTTCCAAATAAAGGCATTCAAGTCATATGGTGAAATTGTATATTTATCGCAATACATATCGCAGATTATTATATATAAAATTATATCATTATTGTGCAGCGCTTCGATCATGTAATTATACAATTCCGTTCTCGTAAACCACATAAACCTGTACACACACACACACAAACACACAGTTGTTGAAATGACTGAAATGTTTGTTCTTGTTTGTTACAATGATAAAGGCCATAACAAAAGAAAAAAGAGAACTCAATGTAAAGTGCATTGAAGCTGTTCAAGCTAAACGGCTGAAAAGAAAGTGAAAAACCTGATTAGCAACTTTTTTTTAAGTGTGTTGCTTGAAATATTAACAGGGAAATCATTACTGGTTCATTTTTATGGTAATAATATATCGTTGATTTTCTTTTCGCAGTGGTAGAAGCAGAAGCGACTGATGTAAGTTATAGTTCAACTTAATTTTATGCTGCAAATTTTTGACATCTTTGAGTGTTTTATGTCCACCAAAGCCTGCATTTATCTGATATACCATACAGTTAAAAATAAACTAATATTATTACTCTTATTATTATATTTTAATAAAACATAAATCCATATATTTTTATATAAATGTTATTTATTTCTTTGATGAAAAGTTGCATTACAATAAGTTTGTTTTTTGTTGTTACTTCTCTATTCGAGTGTCACATGATCCTTTTAAAATCATATCCTGATTAGGTGCTCACTAATTATTTCATATTATTATTTTCAGTGTTGAAAATGGTTGTGCTGCTTAATATATTTGTTAGAATAGTGATCATTCTTTCCAAGATGCTGTCACAATCACCAGCGATCTAATTCTTGCAGATCACTGGTAAACACGTTGTTCGCTAAAGAACTACAAATCTGTCAACATATGGACTGCAAATCCTGTCATGCACCACACACTCACACCTGTTCCAGTTTTCCTGCTGAAGCTGTTCAGAATTGATTACATGGACTTTAAAAGCAGCACAGACACACACCAGTAGCTGAGTTTTGAATCCTGTTTACTGACCTTGACTCTGGATTTCCTGTATACATCTGTTTGCCCAAGTGTTGACCTTTGCTTGCCTGACCGTTCTCTTGTAATAAACCTGCATTTGGATCTGCACTCTTTTGTCAGCGTCTCCATCACATAACAGACGACTCAGCCAAGAGGGGTGTGTGTGTCCTGTATTTTAAGTCCATCTAATCAGTTCATGAGCAGTTTAAAGCCGTGAGTTTGTGTAATCAACTGAATGAGAAACAGGTGCGTGTGAGCAGTGCATGACGTGATATGTTGAAGTTGAAGTCCATTAGCAATCTACACAGGCTGGATTGCTGGTGACCGTGACAGATACATTAATCAAAAAGAGTAACAAGTTTCTTCACTATGATTTTGTATTAATTTAATGCGTCTTAAAGGTAATGTACATACAATATAATAATGTTAAACCTCTCTGTTTGCTCATAGGAAAGTCCTATAGTTTGTACTCGTGAGTACAAACCTGTGTGTGGAGACGATGGGATAACATACTCCAATGAGTGCATGCTCCGCTGGGAAAGCAAGTACGTCAGCTTGAACATTAAGCAATGTCAAATCAACATTAGAGATAGTCGAGGCAGCAGATGTGAGAAATCCCAGGCTTGACCCTTGTTAGCTTTTAATCAATTACTAATATTTAGCTGACAGCCGTGCAGTGTTGGGTTGTATTCATTACAAAGTAAAGTTCCTTTAATTAAATGACATATCCACTGAAATAAAAGTAAGAGATTAATGTTTGTTTTTAGGTAATTTAATTATAGCTACGTGTAATGTAAACCAACACTGGGAAACACCCATACATTCACACATATACACTACGGCCAATTTAGCTTATTCAGTTCACCTATATCGCTCGAACCAGCGACCTACTTGCGGTGAGCCGATCGTGTTACCCACTGCGTCACTGTGACGCCCTACAAAGTAGTTAGTTACTGTAATTAAAGGACCCATCCACTGAAAAGAAAATAAAGTAAGGCATTAATGTTCATTTAATTAGCTACATGTAATGAACTTGCCTTAAAGGGATGTTTCACCCTAAACATGAAAATTCCATCAACATTTTTTTCACCCTCCAATAGTTACAGAGTTTCCTTTATCTGTTAAAGACAAAAGAAGATGTTTTAAACAATGTTGGAAACCTGCACCCCTTGACTTCCATTATTAGTTGATAAGTTCATTTTAACAAACTCTGAATTAATCTGCAAAATATAATCTGAATCTAAATGTTTTTCAACTACACTCAAAGAAATATTTTGCTGCTGGTTCAGACTACTTATCTATTATGAGCTGAATCAACACAATTCTGTATTCATTCCACTTAAATTTAAGTTTATGTTACGATAAGGTTAACTTTATTCGTGTTAGGACAACATGAAGGAATTGTGTGGAACCCAGCATTTTTTACAGTGTAAAGGTGGTTACAATAGTCAGAAAATAAGTTGATGACAATATATTATCGTATGTAAAATATTATATTATGGTGTCACTGTTTTGAAACGATTCATGTTTTGATATATCCTGTTTGGATTTTATATAATGTAGAATTTTATTAAAGCAAAAAGGCCAAGTTGCACTCAACATTAAAGTATTCAAATAATTTTTATTGTCAATATGTGTTAAAATTTATAGAGATTTTATGTATGATTGAATTGAAGTAATTAAACTGACTTTTCAGACATAATCATTTAAAATATTTTCAATTATATAATATATATAATTTATTTTTTTTTTTAAGTAAGTGACTTACCCAACAATGCTAATCTAAAAAACAATGACAAAAGAGCAGGAGATACATACATTTTTAATTGTGATTCTGTGCCCCTTCTAACGCATCTTCTCTTCTTCTTTTTTTATTTTAGTGCAAAGGAAGTGGTTGTCAACGTAAAGCATGAAGGAAAATGCGAGAGCTCTTAAACTGCGAGAGCTCCTAAAATGCTGTTACAACAATGTCATCCCTTCCATTTTAATGCAAGAGGAACAACTATAGTGTGATTTTTCCCTCATGCCAAAAATCAGTACCTTATATGTTTGGTCAGACATTGCATTGTCACCATGTAATCTGCTGCAATAAACAGTGAAGCATTTAAAAACATTCATTTATAGCTAAAATGAAGATCAGAGGATATGTTTAAATAAATTACATTTTTTCCTTCCTTTAAAACTACTGTCCTTAAAAATGATCATTTTATAATTACATTTTTATCTTTAGCTTTAGTTTTTTGTTGTTGTTGTTGATCGATAGACAGTCCAGAGACTATTCTTGAGATTTTTCCCCCCAAACCATTTGGAAAATAGGCATTTTGGGTGGCAGTGTGCCAAAATGCTGCAGGTGGCCATTTTTGTAATAACAAACCCCAAATTTGCCAAGCATTTTATCACTTAATTTTCACATTATTCGAGAACAGTTGGTTCTATCAAAATGCTTATTGCCATTCTAAACACTCTTTAATGCTGGTTATAATGCATTACCTTTGTAATCTGCAAATGTCTGTTTAGTAGATAAAACAACTAAATTACAGTTGAGAATATATCATGTATATTGCCAGTGCTTTCATGTTAAAAAGCACATATGCAGCTGTCCAGTCAATACAACTTATAACCATAAATATGCCAATAAATATCACTTTGTTCCAAACCTGTTTAAGTTTTTGGGCTCTATTTTGACAGTCCATGTCCAAAGTGCGCAATCGCTGTCAGGGAGTGTCAGAATCCACTTTTGCTAATATAAGGACGAAAAAATCCACTTTGCGCCGTGGCACATGGTCTAAAAGGGTTGAGCTTATTTTCTTAATGAGTTACAGGTGTGTTTTGAAAATAAACCAATCAGAGTCTCAACTCCCATTCCCTCAAGAGTCAGTTGCGTTGCCATAGCGCATTTGCTATTTACATGACGACTTTGTAAGTGGAAAAACTGAGCATTTCACTAGCAGGAAAACAGTTAAACAGAGCATCTGCAGTGCAGGAATGAGAGATAAGGCATCTTATAATCTACTTTCACTTTCGCGGATAGGGAAACCTTGTTCACCGACATCATTTAGCTTATAAATAATTAATTTTGTTTGTGAAGCGCAAAGATTCGTTTCTAAATTCAGTTCTAATTTCCAGCAAACTAATAAAAGAACAATACTAACGAAGTGTGTTCAAAAACCTGAGTTATATCCTAATACACCTGTTGTGCCCCCTATGGTCTAAAACCTGCAGGTGGGCAAATCTAAGCTTGTTTTTAATAAAACAAATATGAATATGCATATAATAAATCACACTGCTAATAATAATAACATTATACAAAAGCAAATTGTCATGAATAAACTGAAAAAACCTCCCGAGATAAAGAAGGCCTGAAAGTATGGTTTTTAGACCGGCTTTGTTCTGGTCTATTGAAAAATCTATTATAGTTTCTCAAAATAGCAACGCACCAGCAGTGCGCCTCAACACGCCTTCCTTATACGCTATTTAAACAGCGTGGCGTCAAAATGACTCTTGCGCCAAGCTGAAACTAGCAAACAACAATTTCGACATACCTTCTGTTAAACACAATTTTTTTGAAAAATGTTGAAAACTGGTAGCCATTGCCCTCCATATATACCTTTTCTACTTTCAATGTCAACAGCTACCGATTCCCAATATTGTTCAGTGTTAAAAAATTTAAAAATCTAAATTTACAATGCTTATTTTGCTAGCTCACATTGTTATTCTTAAACTGATAGCCATTGACCTCCATGTACATTTTTGTCTACTTTGGATGTCAATAGCTGCATTTCCATTGTTATGCTTAAAGCAAGCAAGCAGGGCAGACTGCATTTTCACAGTCACTTCCAGAGCCTGATTGAGCCAAACCCTGGCTTCCTTGGGGCCAGCAGCCGGCTTTTTTCTGCTTTTTTCAAGGTATTCGGCAAATACCTTGGCCCAAAGCAAGCCAGCTGGGGCTTCGGGGTGGTGTGTAAGAGTTGAAATATTACAAATATTTTTGATGTCTTTGACAATTCAAAACATGAGCTGAAAACAGAGACTGGTGACTCCACAACCCAGCAGGTGGGAATGCGGGAAAAACCAGTTCCTGCTGCATTTGCATCTGAGTCTGCTGGAACTCGGCTTCATCCCCCCATCTCACACATATGGTCATTTCAATGTTTAAATCTTCTAGATTAACCAAACTGACTTTAACTATCATGTTTCAAATCATTTGAAATGTGTCAGTGGATTGGTACAATGGTCTCATTCTCTCAGAAATAGACATAATCAAAACAATAAATATATAACCTCAGGCATCTTTTGAACCACTGTTAAGGGTGTGACTTTTCCACAGGCAGCACTAAGTGTGAATGCCTTTTGTTATGCACACACCCCCTCCCTTGAGGGAATTATTGGATTATTTAAGGTAAGATTTGAGAAAGGCTCAGCGCGATTCTGCCTAACCAGATCAGCCCATAACATGGAGCCTGCTCCATGTTATGTATATCTCAAAGTCAGGATATGCATCTTTTCATCTTGGATTTGTCTGTGATAATTTGATGTGTTGTATTGATCGTTTATGAATTAACTGATTGAATTTGGCATAATACATTTACCTGACTAATAAATTATGTTTTGAATTATTCCAACCACGTGTTATTATCACTGATAAATGTTGTTGTCCATAGCACTACAAGCCACTGTACAGGTTAGTAACGGACTAAAACATGTTAGACGGAGCAGCGTGGCACGCTATACAATGTTGTTAGAGATCCGACTAACAAATTGGCTTTAATTCAAGTATACTTGGACAACAAAATATTGTTGAAACTACTTTAAATGTGGATATTTAGGCCTTCATCTACAAACTTATAATCCTGTGCGATTATTATTAAAATACTTTGTCTTGATTAAGTAGATAACAGATCTATGGGGACCACATAAAAATCTCCTAAATTGAGTAATGTAGGGTTCTGCCTTTTTAGGAGAGTGGTTAATCGCCTCTGTTTAATGACCAAGTCTGACAAGCTTGTATTAAGAGATTGTATACCCGGCCGGTGCAAGACTCGAGATGCTATCGGAATCTGAGTAAATGAGAATAAGGTATAATAACAAATCAAAAGAATATTCAATCATAATCTAAAATAATGTGAAAGGAAACAAAATAATCTTATCAATGTTTTATAATTGGAGTCAGATGAAACGAGGATAAATATATTAATATTCTAAACCACCTCATACTAAAATTGGAGTCAGGTATGAGTTAAGTTTAATATAAATCAACATTGTGCACTGGAAAGGCCGAACATGCAGTGAACCTTCATCCACCAGTGGATACCGTCATTGGACCAACTGGCTGGACCTTACAATGTGAAGACAAAGGCGGAGTTTGCCCGAGTCTGGTAAAGATGGTGTGCCGCCATTACACAATAAATATAAGAAAAAGAAAAAACAGCTACTAGTCAGTGTAGGATATTCCATATAGCACCTAATAAGCTAGGTTTTTTTTTTTTTTTTTGCTTAAGATCACCCGCATGTTTCCCTTTTAAATATAAAGGAGTTTCAGGAAATGGGCTAATAAAGTAGTTTTAATTTAATAAATGATATTTCTTTGCTACGGATTGCCAACATTCTTCAGTGTTAAATCCACATGAATTGGATTTCGTAATTTAAACAGAATTTAAATTAGTTGTTTTGCTAGCTTACGTTGTTATTTCTAAAGTAAACAATTATTCCATGCTGAATTAATGTAATTAATGTGCTGAGTTAATGTACTGAATTTTTGTATTTAATTTAATTTGTTAATCAAATTCGGACCCTCTGCTTCCACATTTGGAATGGTGGTCCTTACATATACAGCCGTGGATGCGCACATCACTTGTGCAACACTGTATAACAAGAATCACTATTTTGACATGACTTTGACGGTTAGGTTTAGTGTTCGGGTGGGGGAAGACTTTAATAAAATACAATTAATGGGAAATTTAATCAATAATATACATGATTCTCATGGTTAATCAGCTATACTACTGTAATAGAGAAGACCCCAGATCTGTTTTTACATTACTGAGACTGTTGGGTTTAGGGTTGAGGTGGGGTTAGATGCCCTTGTAAACACTCACTCCAACGGGTTTGCATGGCTCTCGGTCCCACTCAAAAAGATCCCAGCTACCGAGCCAACCAATCACAGAGCTTGCGCTAGGTGTCGTTAAAACATGTGGTTACATTTTTTGAGAGGACAGCATTGGCTATAAATCAGCCTTTACTCTTCCTACAGAGGTAAAATACGTATTCAGAAGATCTTTCCAACAATATATAGTATGTCATGATTGGATTAGGATTTATTTTTGATATAGTGAAGTAAACCCAAGCGTGCTGCAATCGGAGCATTCACAGTTAAGCGAGTAAAAAGAAAACAAGTAACTCATAAAGGTTTGGAGCCACTTCTTGAATAAACAGGTGAATGTTTTGGGTGATTCCTTCCCATTTTAAAAATTAGAAAATAGAATTTAGACAATCCTCTTTTAGTAGAGCCAAGCAAATCCTTCATTCACAACTCAATCGTTTTATTAGTTCTTCAAAAGTCTCATCTTACACCTGTCGCATTTTTACCACCATAGAGTCCACAAGTGTCAGAATCTCTCCGAAATAACCGTCCTCCTCTCCTACGTCCTGCTCTGTGAGCACCAGCTCCTGGTACTGTTTTTGCAGTTCACTCAGAGAGGCTGTTAATCCGGCGTTCTGCTTAAACTGAGTCTGACACTGAGCCATCATGGCAAGAAGAGTGCGCAGAGCTTTCTCTCTCCAGTCGTGCTCGGGTGACTCTAAAAGCTCAGGCACCAGACGGCACCAGCCCTGCTCCACCAGCACCGGCAGAAGCGACACTTCAGCATACTGACGCAAACGCTCCTGGTGAGAGGAATCTGGGATAATGTCCAGTCCCACCTGCGAAATCAGCTCCTGCAACACAAAGAACAGGGAAATGAGCTAACCATTAGAGCCGGGTTATGCAATGGGATCAAGAAAAAGGTTGCAACATCCTAAAAGCCAAGTGAGGAAAGTCTGAACAGTGAGATATAAACATAGAAGACCAAAACAATTCAAATAAAAAAATGTCTTTGGGATTAAACAAGAACTGTCACGATATACATATATAACCAAAATTTACTGAGATAAACAATATTATTGTCATTTTAAGATCATTTTAACAGTATAATCGAAGCATTAGCAAGTGCGCTCTTCCAAAGAACACATAATATTTTATTGTTAAGAATATTTGATTTAATTATAGTCATTTTAACTAATAAATAATTGGACATTGGAATCAGAATGTGAAAAGGTATATACTAAACTAATAAATGTTGACAAAAAAAGTGCAAGGTAAAAAGTAACAGAGGCTGCAATATCAGCTACAAGATCTATGTTCAGTTGTCAGACACTCACATGAAAATATACTATAGTAAATTATAGTAAACACTAGAGTGTTTTTTAACCATAGTGACACAGACACCTCCAAAGGGGATAGAGAGGCTGTGCGATCGTTGCTAGAATTAGTTTTTATGTATGAGCGATATACACTTACCGGCCACTTTTTTAGGTACACCTGTCTAACTGCTCGTTAATGCAAATTTCTAGGCATGCAGACATGGTTAAGCAGATCTGCTGCAGTTCAAACTGAGCATA